GCGCAAAAGAGAGGAATGCTCGCCGTGAGGAGGCCCCACAGCATAGGCCTCGCGTGTCGTTGGATCATATCTCAAGTCGCGATTACGGTTGGATGGATGAGCGGTCGCTCCTGCCACCGGTGATCGTACCAGTGAGAACGAGGAGCCTCATAGTCGAGGATGCGCGCGAGCCTGGAAAGTTCCTTCCTTCTTGCCTCCGCACATCCAAAACATACACGCCCCAACCTCCAACACGCCAGCCGAGTCGAATTCGGCAGGTTTTTCCTGTTGTCCGCGGCCTCCCCAGCTGGTTACGCCAGGAGGGGGCAGACTTATGTCGGCTGGGCGGTTGGTGGCCCACAGGGGGCTTGTTGTGGGGTCGAGCAGAGCGTGGTATGTTTCGGGTGCCTCGCTGCGTTTCGGCACTGCCCCCCAGAGGTGGGCTTCTTGCTGCAGGTTTTGCAGAATGCGAGGACACGCCCCCCGCGCCTCGCTGCGCTCGGCGCTGCCCCCCAAGTTTGGTGGGCTTCTTGTTGCAGGTTGTGCAGAGTGCGAGGACAAGCCCCCCGCGCCTGCGGCGCTGCCCCCCGGAGTGGGGCGGTCTCGTGGCTTTTTGAACGTTTGTGTTTTGCGTCGGGGCGCTTCGAGATCTGCGATGAGCTTCATGAGGTCGCCCGATGCGAACCTCGACGCTAAAATCCTCGCCAAGAAGCCCACCAAACTTGGGGGGCAGCGCCGAGCGCAGCGAGGCGCGGGGCTGCCCGCCTCTGCAACACCGACACAAAGAGCAAAACGCCAACCTCACAACAAGCCAAACCCGTGGGCTAAAAACCGCGCACCCAACGCCAGGTCTGCCCCCCTCCCGAACACGAAGTGTGAGGCACAGGGGGGCCGCGGACGAGCGAGAGCGAGGGCCGCGGGGGGCGCGAAACCTCCGCCATAAAAAAAGCGGGGTTCCTTTTTTGAAAAAAGGAACCCCGCTTCTCATGCAGGCTTTATGTCGCGATGCGTATCAGGGTTGACCGCAAAGCGAGAGGAGCTTCGTGCCGCCGTTGGGGCGAGAGACGAGGACGTCGCTCGAGCAAGCGGTGAGGGCGTTGCCGGCGACGCCGCCGCCGCAATCGCTGTTGTCATCACACAACCTCGAGCAGCGCTGGCTGACATCAGCACACTGCTTGTCAGCGTTGACGCAGTTCGGATCGTCGATGGGGCACTCACAGGTCTTGGTGCCGGGGCAATCCGCGTCGCTGTTGCACTGGACGCCGTCGTAGACGTTGGTGGTCAGGCAGAGGCCCTCGCGGCAATCGGAGCCGGTGGCGCAGGTCGCGCCCAGCTCGGACTGGCCGATCGGCGTGCGACAGACCTGGTCGATGTCGTTGTCGGTGACATCGCCGCTGACGGTGCAGACGTTGCCGTTGGTGCAGGAGCCGTTGTCGGTACAACCGCGCACGCAGAGGTTCACGTCGCTGTTCTGGCTGAACGAGAAGGTCGTGCAGACCTGGTTGTTCGTCGCCGAGCAGTGAGAGTCTTGCGTACAGGCGACCGAGCACTCGTTGGAGGTGCCGAGGCAGAGGCCCTCGCGGCACTCGGAGTTCGCGGCACAGGTCGTGCCGAGTTGTGCGCCGTTGTTATTGGGGAAGCGGCAGAATGGCGCGACGTCGCCGTTTGCATCCTGGCGAAGCTCACCGCAGACGCGAATCCCGTCGGTGCAGGCTCCCGTGGAGGTGCACTGCTGATCGCCGAGGCGCTCGCAGATATCGAACCCGCCGGACAGCGCGCCCTTGGTCACCGTGTTCTGCACACACGCCTGGCTGACGCCGCACTGGTTCGTGTTGTCGCATGGCGCGCCGCAGGAGCCGTTAAAGCAGACGCGGCTCTCGCAATCATTGTCCACGTTGCACGCCACGCCCGTGGCGAGCTTGCCGGTGCTCGGGATACAGACTGACTCGAGCGCGGTGCCCGCCGTGTTGGGGACGATCGCGCAGGTCGTGCCCGACTGACAGTCATCATTGGAGGTGCAGGCGGGAGGAGGCGTCGGCGCGCAGATTTGAGCGCTCGTCGTCGTCCCGTTCGCCGCAGCCACATCCACCGTCAGGCAAGCATAACCCGCCGTGGGGCAATCGCTGTTGTCATTGCATGGGGTCGAGCAGACCTTGCCAAAGCGGCCGTCGTAGCAGAGGTTCGCGGCGCATGCCGAGTCCTGCGTGCAGACCTGACCGAGCTGGCCGCCGCCAGCGTTGCCTGGGCGACAGACCTGATCCACCCCCTGGTTGGTGCGGCGCACGTAGCATTCCTCGGTGAGCTTGCACTCGCCCTTCTCCACACACGCCACCGGAGGCACGCAAACCTGCGCGGTGTCCGTGGCGTTGTTTCCAAGGTCAACCTCTGCGACCTCGCAGGTGTAGTCGGTCGCCGAGCAGTCACCGTTTTGCTGACAGGGGCTCGCGCACTTGCCATCGAGGCAGAGGTTCTGCGCGCACTCGCTGTCCTGCGTACAATCCGCGCCACCCTCGCCGCCGCCAGCGTTTGGCGCGCCGCAGGCGAAATCGACCGCGGTCGCAGAGCGCGAGGCCACGCAGCGATCGGGGTTGGTGCAGTTGCTGTCGGTGAGACATTGCTGCGGAGGACGTGGCTTACAGACGTTGAGCATCACGTCGCCACCGCCGGTCGAGACCGTCGTCGGCTCACAGATAAAGGAACCGTCGGTGGAGCAATCGTTGGGGCGCTCGCATGGACGCGCGCACAACCCATCGAGGCAGAGCCCCGAGAGACAGTCCGCATCCGCCGAACACATCCCGCCGAGATCCTCGCCGCCTGGGACAGGGTCCTGACAGGTCAGCACGGCCATGTTTCCGGTGCGATCGACGACGCAGACCTCAGGATCATCGCAGGCCGCGTTCGAGAGGCAGTTCTTGTCCGCCTCGACGCAGACCGCGAGCTCGGCGCTGCCGCCGCCCTCGAGCGGCACCATGCTGGTCTCGCAGTCAAAGCCGTTGGGGCAATCCGCGCCGGTGGTACAGGGGGCCGCGCACGCGCCGTTAAAGCAGAGCCCGGAGCGGCACTCGCTGCCATCCGCGCACGCGTCGCCGGTGTTCTTGGTGCCGGTGGGGTCCTGACAGGTCGCGTCCCCGGTCATCGCGTCGATGACACAGAGCTGAGGTGCCGAACAATCCCCGTCCTTGGTGCACGGCGTCGGCGCCATGTCCACGGGCATGTTCATATCCTCGGGCGTTCCCATGTCGGGCATCGCCATGTCCTCTGGAGAGGACATGTCTGGCGGCATGTTCATATCCTCGGGAGCGTTCATATCCTCGGGGACGTTCATGTCCGTCGAGTTATTGCCTCCGCCCATGTCGAGAATAACCGGATTGTTTCCGCCCTGGCCGGTCCCTGTCTCATCAGGGCCGCAAGCAGTCGCTCCGGCAGTGAGCGAGAGCGCCATGGCTCCCAGGATCCACTTCTTGTAGCTCATGTATCTGTACCCCTTGTATCACGTCGCGCGAACTGTCGCGGGGCGCCGAGTAGAAGCGGCGCCGACACGCTCCATCGCGCGAGCATTCGAATCGCAAACATTTGTAGCGTGGAACAGGTTTTGTTATCGCTACCTATCACGCCACGCTGGCAGCGGGACTTACCCTCTATGGTACACAAAATCAATCACTTTGCACGAATTGCACGCTGACTTGACGCATGTCATCGCCAGGGCCACCATCACCGCCTGCGATCGACGCACCCGATCGTGAAACGATCTCGTTCTCCAGGAGCCCGATACCGTGTCCAAGATCCACCTTATCTCAGCTATCCTCGCGCTGGCCGTGACCGCCAGCTGCGCCCCGGAGCGTCCCTCCGATCAGAAAGGAGACGTGAGCGAACAGAGCAAGAAGGCGCTCCAGGGTGATGGCCGCCAGGCGCTCCCCGTCGCAAAGATCGATGGCGAGCAAATCTCTGTGGGCGACCTCGAGCGTCGCATCTCGGGGATGGCGCCGTATGCCAGAGTCAGGTACTCGACCACCGCGCAGCGCGAAGAGCTGCTCCAGTCGGTCATCGTCTTCGAGATCCTCGCGGATGAAGCCGAGCGCAGAGGTCTCAAGGAGGACCCGGAGGTCCTCCATCAGATGAAAGAGGTGATGGTGCGCCGGCTCCTGATCGAAGAGGAGCGCTCGAAGCTCTCGCCAGGAGACATCACCGAGGCCGAGATCGCGAAATACTACAACGAACACATCGCGGATTATCACACCGATCCGCAGCGTCGCGCGCTCGTGCTCAAGGTGCGCACCGAGAAGTTCGCCAGGGACATCCACGCCGAGCTCGTCCAGGGCAAATCAGAGCCCGATGTCCAGAAGCGTATCCTCGCCTTCCGCAAGCTCTCGGCCAGACACTCCATCGAGCGCGCGCTCAGCACCAAGGGGGGGGATGTCGGCTTCTTGCCGCCCGCCGACAAGCTGCGCAACAACAAGGAGGTCTCGAGGCGCGTCTTCGAGCTCCAGAACATCGGCGACTTTACCGAACCCTACTTGCACGAATCGGTCTGGCACATCGTGATGATGATGGACAAACGCCCCGAGCGCACGCGACCGCTCGAGGCCGTCTCCGGCGAGATACGTCAGGAGCTCTACGAGACTCGCCGCAAGGCGCTGCGAGAGAAGTTCATCGAAGAGCTGCGCGCCAAGGCAAAGATCGAGATCGAAAAGGACAACCTCGCAAAGATCGAGCCTCCCGAGGGGGACAGCCAGATGCTGGACAAAACGCTGATGAAAAAATCACCGGTGCGCGATCTCGCGCCAGCAAAGGGCGAGGGCAAAGATATGAAGAATCAAGGCAAAGTTCCCGTCGAACAGGGCGACAAACAAGAGAATCCGTGATAGGGCACCCTACCTCGATGGGGCCCACATGGACGTTGGCCGCTTTGGTTTTCGAGGACTCCGCTCTCGCTCGGAAGAAAGAAAGAGATCATGTTCGATACATCCCCACACCGCATCCTCGCGCGCCTCGTGCTCGCGCTCTCGCTCGCTGCCCCCATCATGACCGCCGCGCCCGAGCAGGCGCACGCGGTCATCATCGATGGCGTGGCCGCGCGCATCAACGCCGAGATCATCACGCTCTATGACGTGCGCATCGCTGCCACGCCATTCATGCTCCAGCGCGGCATGGACCCGAGCCTGCTCCAGGACCCGACGCGACGCTCCAAGATCTATCGTCAGGTGCTCGATGATCTGATCGAGCGCAAGCTGCTCCTGCAAGAGGCGGCAAAGCTCGGGCTCTCGATCACGGACGAAGAGGTCGAGCAATGGATCGCCTTCACGCGTCAGCAGCAAGGCTTGAGCGAGGAGCAGTTCAAGGCGACGATCGAACAGTACGGGATGAACTACACGGATTACCGCGCGATGATGCGGCAGAACTTGCTGCGTCTGCGCGTCACCCAGTTCAAGGTCGGCGCCAAGGTCTCGATCTCTGACGCCGAGGTCGAGGCGCGCTATCGCGAGCGGTACGGAGAGCTCAGCCTGACGGAGCGCTACATCACGGTCAGTCACGTGCTCATCATCCCCTCCGAAGACACCCCTCAAGGTCGTGAGGCAGCCTTCCAGCGCGCCAAGGTCGTGCGCGAGAGGATCCTCGCTGGCGAGAAGTTCGAGGATGTCGCGCGCCAGGAGAGTGATGGCCCGAGCGCGAAGACGGGCGGAAAGATCGGGACCTACCGACGCGGCGAGTTGGACGCGGACTTCGAGAACGCCGCCTTCACGCTCGAGGAGAACCGCCTCTCCGAGATCGTGCGCACGAAGTATGGCTACCACGTGATCCTCGTGAGCAAGATCGAGGAGCGCGAGAACCCGGACATCGAAGAGCGCAAGGATGAGATCCGCGGCGAGCTTCGACAGATCGCCACCGAGCGCCAGCTCCAGTCCTATATGCAGGGCTTGCGCGACCGCGCCTTTGTCGAGGTCAAGATCTGACCTCGTGCCCCATCGCCGGCAGGCGATCGAGTTGACCTCCTGTGTAAGCGCGTGATACTTGGGGAAGCTCTATCTAGACAGCTCGTCTACCTCATACGCGCGAGGGACCTGCCCCCGACATCATCCAGGGCGCGAGGAGATCGCTTGAATCAACACGACTCACAAGCAAACAAGCCGCTCAGTCAGCTGACCGAGACGGAGGTTGTCGAGAAGTACACCGACTACGTCGAGAGGCTCGCGACCAACCTGTTGCGCAAGCTCAAGCTGCGCGTCGAGCGTGAGGACATCATCGCCTACGGGATGGAGGGGTTGCTCGACGCATGGCGTCGCTTCGACCCGAACAACAAGACCGCCTTCACGAGCTTTGCCTATTACCGCATCCGCGGCGCGATGTTCGACGGTTGCCGCAAGGAAGGCTGGGCATCACGTGATCGACGCACCAAGATCGCCGACTACGCCGCGGTCAACGAGCACCTCGAATCCACGCACGCGGCGAACGCCAATGCGCCCGCCGCCAGGACGCTCGGCGAGAGCATCTCGCGCGTGAGTGATAAGGTCGGCGATGTGTTGACCATCATGATGGTCTCTCAGGCGGACATGGAAGATATCCTCGGCGAGGTGGAGCCTCCGCAGGACACCAAGCTCGAGAAGAAGGCGCGCAACGAGAAGCTCGAGGCGGCGATCAAGATCCTGGACGAGAACGAACAGATCCTGGTCAAGCGCCACCACTACTACGACGAGCCGCTGACCGTGATCGCGAAGGACCTCGGGCTATCGCTGTCGTGGTGCTCGCGGATGCACGCGCGCGCGATCGAGAAGCTGCGTGAAGAGCTCTCCTCCACGGGCGAGGAAGACAAGCCACCCCCGTCCTGACCTCTCTCGACATATGGTGATCGTTTCGCGATCACCGTCCTTCCCAAAAAAAGCTAGTCTCGACGGCAAATCTCGACCACGCTTTACCTCTGTTGTGATGTGACTTCTTCAAGTGAAAGAAGATGAGGTGAGCGCAAGTGAGCGAGGAAGCCATAAGAGAAGATGTGATCGACTGGAGCGAGGTCGCCAAACGACTCACGCTTTATGCCTGGCGCCGACTCGATCGGCTGGGAATGGGTCGCCGCGATCTGGCCGAGGATTTCGCCTTCGAGGCGATCCGACGCCACCTCGACGAGCAATACGTCGACTGGGATCGCGAGCGTTACCCTACCCTGCTCGAGTTTCTGGGGAGCCAGGTCAACGGGTTGATCCGCAATCATTTGCGCAAGTTCTCCACCAACCGCGAGGTCACCGGAGAGCTCGACTCATACACCCTACAACAGCGCATGCGGACTGCTCCTTCGCAGCACCGCGTGCTCGAGAAACGCGAGGAGACCGCGCGTGTCATCGGCATTTTGCGCGAGCGCGTCGAGCAGGATGCCACGCTCGGCGCCCTGCTCGACGTGATGCTCGATGGGATCGAAAAACCTGCGGAGCAAGCGCGAGCGCTCTCGCTCCCGGTGTCAGAGATCTACAAGGCAAACCGTCGGCTCAAGCGCCACTTTTCAGCGGTGCGTGACACGCTCGCGCAAGCGAACCTCTCGTGAAACCCATCAAAGAGGATGGAGATATGTCGGACGAAAACAACAAGCTCGAATCGATGGACCATATCCTGGCGTTGATGGATGAATCACTCGACGAGGATTTGCTCCACCCGGAGCGCGTCTCGCTCGAGGCGATCGAGGCCGAGCTGGAAGAGGCCGGGTTCTCCACCAGCGAGCTGGAGGCGCGCGCCGCGCGCCTCGCCACGCGCAAGTCGAAACCCAACGGCCCGCTCTCGTGGCAGGCGCGCGCGAGCAAGAAGCTCGATCGATCCAGAGAGATCCTCGCCCGTCGTCCGCCCACGACCGCGAGACAGGTCAGCGCAGATCGCGCCGGGCTGCTTCGGCAACTCGATGGGCTACGCTCGATGCCCGGCGCCGAAGGCCGTATCCAGGCGTACTTTCGAAACAAATCGCCTGAAGAGGTCACCGACGAGGAGCTCGCCTCCCTGATCGAGGATCTGTCCATCCTTCACAACCTGCTCGATCCGATCGATTGATTTCTGGCCAGAGCGGTGAAAATATGTTTAGTATCGAGCGAGATATATGGACCCTCTCGGGAGATGCTCGATGCACGCGACAAACTTCCCCCGATCCCACGCGAGCGCGGGCGCGAACGAGCGCGCGATCGCCTGCGCCAAAGAGTTGGTGGATCGCCTGGGCATTCAAGCCCCGGAAGATCTGGACATCGAACTTATCGCGGCCTATCACGACGTCTTCGTGACCTACAGGCCGCTGCACGATCACGAAGGCCACCTGCTGCGTGGTCCTGACGTCGGCCTCGTTGTCGTCGACACCGGCGCGCTCGAGAGCTGCAAGTGGCGCTTTGTCATCGCTCACGAATTGGGACACTACCTGCTCCATGAAGAGATCGATCAGTTCCACCTCTGCTCGAACGCCGACGCGCACCCCTGGTACAAGACCAACGGCTCCGAGAGAGAGGCGAACACGTTCGCCAGCCAGTTGCTCATGCCAGATCGCCTCTTTCTTCCGCTGATGGAGGAAGCCGAGGATGATCCATCGATCGACAACCTCTCCGAGCTCGCGCACCGTTTTCGCATGTCGCTCACGGCCACGGCGCTCAAGTTCTTGCGCATCACACAGCGCGCCTGCGCGCTCGTCTACTCGCGGCGAGGACGGATCGAGTGGTGCTCCGTCTCGCCGCAGTTTTTGCCAAAGTTACGACCGCACACGATGCTCGGCAGGAACACCTACGCCGCCGCGCTCTGGCGCGGCGAGGATATCCCCAACGCGCCTCTCCCCAACGAGGTCAGCGCCTGGAGTGGGACGTTAAAGGCGGCGAGGAAATCGCTCTTCGAACACTCCATCCGCTCGGACCAATACGACTCCGTGCTGACCTGGCTCACCCACGATTGAAGCAAAAGCAAACCCTCCTCGTCCTATCATCCGGCACCTGATCTCACAGACTTCATGTGAGCTCGGGTGAGGGCATATCCAGGATCAAAGAGGAGTTTGCTGATGGCCAGGAAGATGGGATTCGAGGCGGCGCGCCACCTGCTCTCGCGCGCAGGCTTTGGCGGGAGCTACGAGGAGATCGAGGCGACCTCCAAACGCTCGGCAAAGGATGTCGTCGACGCGCTTATCGCAGACGCGAAAACCGGCAAGACCGCGACGGCGGCGCCAGGCTTTGTCGGCTCTCCACCCGCAAGGCTCGAGATGCGCTCGCGAAGACGCGAGATCATGGCCGAGACCGATCCTGCCAAACAGGAGCAACTCAAACAGAAGATGAAGCGCGAGGTCGTGCAGACCTCGATCGTTCGCGCGCAGGAGCTCAAAGGATGGTGGCTTCAAGAGATGGTCGCCACGTCCTCACCGCTCCAGGAGAAGATGCTGCTCTTCTGGCACAATCACTTCACCTCGAGCCTGACCAAGGTGAAGAGCCCGGTGCTGATTTACAATCAGCACATGATGCTGCGAAAGCACGCGCTGGGGAGCTTTCGAGAGATGCTCGCTGGCGTGGCGCGCGATCCTGCGATGATCCTTTACCTGGATAATGTCTCCAACCGACGCCGCAAACCCAACGAGAACTTCGCCAGAGAATTGCTGGAGCTGTTCACGCTTGGAGAGGGTCACTACACCGAGGCTGACATCAAGGAGGCTGCGCGAGCGTTCACTGGCTGGACGCTCGATCGAAAGACCGGGAAGTTTCGGTTCGCGCAGGGCGCGCATGACCCTGGTGAGAAGACCTTCATGGGAAAGAGCGGGAAGCTGGATGGTCAGGACATCCTGGACACACTGCTCGAGAAACCGCAGACCTCTGTCTACATCACCGGCAAGTTGTGGCGCGCGTTTGTCTCGGAAGAGCCAGACGACGCCGAGATCAAGCGCATCGCCAAAATCTGGCGCGAGTCGGACTACGATAACGCCGCGATGATGCGCGCGCTGCTGACCTCCAAAGAGTTCTATCGCGCCGAACATCAAGGGAACCTGATCAAGAGCCCCATCGAACTCATCGTCGGCACGCTCCGACTGTTTCGAATGCAGTTCGAAAAGACATCTCCGCTCGTGGGCACCGCGCGAAGGCTCGGGCAAGACATCTTCGAGCCCCCGAACGTCAAGGGATGGCCAGGCGGCAAGACCTGGATCACCTCGGACTCGCTGTTGATGCGTCAGCAGATCTTGACGCGGGTGTTCCGCGATCCGGGGAACTTCCCGGCGTTGATCCAGGATGGATGGGAATCACTGCTCGGCGCAAAGCAGGCAAAGCTCACCAAAAAGCGCGCGGACTTGCTAAAGCGCACGGTGGTCCCCGTGGAGCCGATTTATTCGATCGCCGATGTTTCCGATGACGCCTTCGAGCTGGCTCGTCAGCTCGCGCTCGACCCGACATACCAGCTCTGTTGAGTCGCCAGCTCACGAGGCGAGGCGCGCTTTGAAAAAGCGCGCCTCGCCTCGTGCCACTGACCGACAAGATGCTGATAAAAAAGGAGATTCCAGATGGATCGCAGACACTTTTTGAAGATGGCCGGGTTAACCTCGATGGTGATGATGTCACCATTCGATGTGCTCGCCACGCCGGGCAAGCGGCGAGTGTTGGTGCTCGTCGAGCTCAAGGGCGGGAACGATGGCTTGAACACCGTCGTGCCGTTCGCGGACCAGGCTTACTACAGGTTGCGCCCAGGCATCGCGATAAAGAGAGACGAGGTCTTGAAGCTCGACGAGAAGGTCGGGCTCCATCCCTCGCTCAAGGGGTTGCATGCATCCTTTAAAAAGGACGAGGTGGCGATCGTGCAGGGCGTGGGCTACGACGATCCGAACAGATCGCATTTTCGCTCGATCGAGATCTGGGAGACGGCCTCCAAAAGCGACGAGTTCCTCGAAGATGGCTGGCTCGCGCGCGCCATGGGCAACAAGCGCTCGGGTGACCTGTTGCTCGATGGCGTCAGCGTCGGGGAGCAAGATCCGGGGCCGATGCGAGGAGATCCTCACATCCTGACGTTTAGCAACCCGGAGCAGATGACGCGCGCCTCGAAGAAGTTACTTCGACCGACAGACGCGCGCAGTGAGAACGACGCGCTGATGCACATCCTGGACACGCAACGCGAGATCTTGCGCGCGTCATCTGGCATCGAAGAGAAGCTCGCCACGACTCCCGCACTGGGAGTGAGCTTTCCATCGACGCGACTCGGCAAGGAGCTCGAGGTCGCCGCCAGGTTGATCGTGGGAGATGTGCCCGTGATGGTGATCCGCGTCTCGCACGGGAGCTTCGACACGCACGCCAATCAGCAGGGACAACACGCGAGGCTCTTGCAGCAGTTGGACGAGGCGCTCGTGGCGTTCAGGCAAAGCCTGGTGAAGCACTCGCGCTGGTCAGACACGTTGGTGATGACGT